ATTGTATGAGCTCTATATTCAGATTATTAACTCCACTTCTGGCACATTTTCTCCACATTTTTCCTGTTTGCCCTTTCTTCCTTTTTATTTTAGTTGTAGGTTTCTCATTTTTTTTTTTTTTTTTTTTTTAATTTAATTGGTTTGCATATGTATTGTTTAATTTTTTTGTTTGTTTGACCAAATATGTTACTCTCTTTCTTTGTGGACAAATACACAAGCACATATATCATATGAACACATATTTTTATATATTTACTTATCTTTACATATCTTCATAAATATGGTGCTTCTAAGTTTAAAAAGTCATCTATTACCCAGAAGTTTTATTAAAAGTTCAATTTTCTTTTTTTCTTTTAACTATTTGATTTTTTAATATTTTAACTCTTTAATCCAACCATAATTTATTTTAGGTTATTATGCATTGGGTACCTGAACTAATATTTTTTCCGAATTGAAATCATCTAACCCAATTGTGTTTATGAAATGATTTTCCCCTTATCAATTGATTTGTAATTTCTCTCTAAATTATATCTTAAATTATAATACTAAATGTTATTTAGTAATATTTATCTCTTTTCTTGCTGCTAATTTTTAAAGAAAATTCCATACTTATACTGATGAGTTTTAAATGATTACACCTTTGTAAAATTTGCTAATCAAAGCGAGGTTTGATTATCTATTAATTCATTATTTTAATTAGTATCCTAAATGAAACAAAATTTTATTTTATTTACGTATAAACATTACTTCTCTCTTAGTGAGTTCTTACCTTTTTCTCAAATGGTTAGACCAATTTAATACATGGTATAGTATTATGAAGAGATTTGACTTGTGCTTAGAAATCAAAATTTTTATTTTTAATTGTATTTTGGCATATAATAAGGATGAACATTTAAAGTTTTTTTCCTCATGATCAAGGTACTTTATTTACAAGGATTATTTTTATAGTAAGATAAAAATATACAAACATCTAGAATTTATTTATAGAATACTTTTATGAAAACATAACACCACCACATTAAGATCAACTTTACTTAGCCATTTTTATTTTAATCTCGTTGTTTCTTTTTTTGTTTTTTTGAGATGGAGTCTCGCCCTTGTTGCCCAGGATGGAGTGCAATGGTGCAATCTCGTCCCCAGGCTTAAGTGTTTCTCCTGCATCAGGTCTCCCGAGTTGCTGGGATTATAGGTGCCCACCACCATGCCCGGCTAATTTTTGTATTTTTAGTAGAGGTGGTGTTTCACCATGTTGGCCAGGCTGGTCGCAAACTCCTGACCTCAGGTGATCCTCCCGCCTCGGCCTCCCAAACTGCTGGGATTATAGGCGTGAGCCATTGCTTCTTTGCTTCTTAATGCAAAGTAATTTTCAGTCACTTATGAAACACCATTTTTTATCTTAACAGTGTGTTTTCTACTTAATGTAAATTCTTAGCCTACAGGAAATATTTGCTAATTTTGAAATGTCTTCTTTAGTTATCTTAGTTATCACAAAAAATAAATCTAGACTTAGTTATTAAAATCTGATTCATAATAGTTTGAAGATTAAATATAAAGCAAGAAGGCAATCTAAATTTTGTTGGAGGTATTAGAGTATTTGTTCAATGTCATGCAAAAATTCATTTTAGACTTTTATAGCACAGATTAGATACTAAAGTCTGAGTTAAGCAAAAAAATTTCTGAGTCAAAAATTGAAAGTAAGATGCAGGCTACAAATAACAAACACAGGATTATACATTATAAAAACAAACAGTTAATAAACACTGCCATATACATACACTAAATTATAATTTATTTTATTCTAGGGTTAACATATTCATTATTTCTAGATTACAAGAAGTCACTTTTCTGTTTTCGAAAGAAATACCAAATGTGAATAGTCATTTCTGGATTCTGATATGTCGTCTCTATACAAAGTGCCTTTGTCCAGTGCTCTTTGTTTGTGGTGTTAGCACAGTAATAACACCAACATGTTCTGACATTTATCACATGGTCAGTCTCCTTTGTAGTTACTGTAAATACATTGTCTCATCCAAACTTCAGATGTGATCCTAAGATTCTCCTGTCAGTGTACCATTCAGATGTTCATTATTAAGTGATTTCATAAAACTTTAAGGTGTTACACAATAATTTTAACAGGCTTGGTAGTGTGTAGGTTACATTTGTTGTCTCAATTCTCAAAATAAAGTTGTAAACAAGGGGTGATTACTCCCATTTCAAGATTCAGAACCAGTTCCAGAGAGTTTAAGTCATGACCAAAAAAGCAAGCAGCAAAAAGTGAATTTTATTTATTCATAACTTATTATGAATTTGGAGTTAGAGGGATTTACTTGTCATGGCATTTCCCTTTAGATATTTTATTCTCTTAAATCCTGCAATAGAATGCTTTGGTCAAGAATTTATTGATTCAAAGAAAATGACTAATTTTCCCCTGTTCACATAAGATCAACATAAAAGTCATTTCTGTGGTCTCTTTTATCTGTGGCTACATAACTTGCAGTCACTGAAATAAAAATGTGAAGTAGTAATGTTGTATCTTATAGATATCCCACAATTCCTTAGTACTTCCTACATCACTACAAAGGCACATGCAGAGGCTGAATAGTGCCCATTCAGGATAAAATAGTTTCCCCTTAACTACTGATAAACCATTTTTAACTCTCCAGATTGCATGAAATCACTAAATCTGGAGCAGGGGTTATCATTGGCACTATTTTTGTGGTATGCCAAACTCTAGACCTTAGTTGTTAGAAGCATGGTTGTTTGATGGCCCGTACTTTCTAGGCTATTAACTGCCTTGTATCCAATGCCGTATTTTTATGACAAATAATGTTAGTACTTGTTTACTCTCCTGAGGTTAAATATATATAATGTGACTACCTGTGATATTTTATTTTAAAATTCAGTATGTTGTCTTAGTTATAAAATAGAAATAAGCGAAAACATTATATGAAATAATGTGTATTTTAACATGTAAATACTCAGGAACTATGACATTTTATGGTATCGAAAATGAAGAAGTAATGAAGCAGTCAAATTTGTGCCTGTGTTTAGATTTAACAAACCTTGAAGTAAAATTTGAATGTTATCAATATCTATCCTTTATATTTAATATTTTTAAATAAAGAAAAAATAAATATGTGTGTATATATTATTTATATATTATATATAATTGCATGCCATCTAGACTTGTATGTTTATACATATATGTATTTGTGTAATTATATATATATATAAAATTACATAAATATATATATATTTGTTTAACTATATATATATAGTTATGGTACTAGAAAATTCAGTGTACATTAAAACCATGCAAACATATTTTGGGCTTATATATAAAATAGAATTACATTCTAAATACAAGCAGTCTCATCAGTTAACATAGTAGTTCTACAACTAAAAAGTTCACATATTAAAACTACGTAAATGTTATTTTGTGTTTATATATAAAATAGAGTTTGGATCTAAGTTAAGATATTTGAAACAGATTTTTACCAATATGAATGTCTGATACCTTTAAAAATTACATGAGAAAAGCTCAATTCTTTATTGTGCAGGATATTTCAAGCATTGCAGGACATCCATAAATGCCAGCTTCACTATCTTTGTGCCAACCAGACATCCCAACAACAGCAACTAAATTCTGAAGCGTCTTCTGGAGCCTGAGAGCACCGGTTGAGAGTTCTGTTATAGATGATGAGGGCTCCTGTGAAGGATGAAATCCAGTGATCTGTGTACACAGGACATTGAGTAAAAAGCTGCCCATTTTCCATGTGGGTGATGTTGGAGACATTTTTGCTAAAGGATCTAAAGCTTTCTTATGTAATTCATTAGTTTCCATTTTCATTTCCTTTCAGGTTTTAGGAGTTGCTTTCTCTTTCTACAGCAAACTACATGTAAAATTAAAAAGAGGGCACACATTTTGCTATTGGCTCAGTGGGTAGGCGGATCACAAAGGTTTGGGAAACTGTGTGAAAAGCTGTATATCCAAATACCTACTCAACATCTTCAACCTGCTCTAATAGACTTCTTCAATGCCGTATGTTCCCTTCTCCCCAAAATGGTTCTTCTCATAGCTTCTCCATCTCAGTAAATGGCTACTCCAGTCTTCCAGCTGCTCAGGCCAAGAACTTTAGGTTATCCCAGACTCTGCTTCTTTTACTTCCCATGTCCGGTGAGTCATTAAATTTTGTAGATTGTGTCACTAAAACAGATTTAGAATCTGACCACATCTCAGCACCCCCACTATTACTAACCTGGGACAAGGCATCATCATCTTTCCCTCTCCAGGATTTGTATGATAACCTCCTAACTGGTTTGTCATTCATTCTTCATAGTATTCTTAACCCAGCAGCTAAAATGATGCTATTAAACATACACAGCTTACATCATTCTGCTCAAAACTGTCTGTGGTTCCTGTCTCACACAGAGCAAAAGTTAGTCTTGTGACGACCATATAATCTGTCACCCTCCGGACATGTCCCCATTTTGTGACTCCTCTTGCCTCATCTTTACTTCCTTCACCCTAGTGCAGTCACATTGCACTGCTGGCTATACTTCCAAACAGCAGCTATTCTCCCTTTTCTGGGTCTCCACACTTGCTGTGTCTCCGTATCTGGAATGTTCTTGCCACAGATGTGTGCACGGCCAGCTCTCTCACTTCTTACATGTTTTTGTGGAAAATTCAGCTTCTCAGTAAAACTTCAAATGGTCACTTTATGTATAATTTCAAACCACCCTCCCCTACATCAGTAGGTTCTATCCCCTCCCATATGCCTTATGTTTTCTCCTTAGTATGATATTACTTATCAGTGCTTAAAATAATGAACATGTTTTGCAGCCATGAGAGCAGGGATTTGATCTATTTTATTCTCTGAGTTTCCTCTAGTATTTAGAGCTGCTGCCAGGCTTTGGATAGCAGTAAATAATAGATAATGGCTGAATAAATGAATGAACTTTTGCATTCTACCTTATATGGACTTTTAATGAGAATTTGTTGTGTGCACTGTAGAATGTGGTGCTTTTTCTACTGGAACTTGCAGAAGGAAAGACATGGTCCCTAGGCTGACAATGACAAACAGTATTGCACTTCAATGGAATGTTGCAGCAAGTATAATACGAGAGTTCCTGGCGAAAGGACTTATCACCATCTTGAGGAATCCGAGGGAGCTGGATTGTGGAGGATTGTCGGATGGATTATGGCATGATGAAAGGCATCCAGAAGAGGGAGATTACAATTAAAACTGCAAAGGCACAGAGCCAGGAAGTGTTTGATGTACATGGGAACCACAAGCATTTTGTGGTTCACTTAACGTATGGTTTATGGAAGGAAGTGGTGAAAGGTAGGGCTGGAGAAGCAAACAAGAGCTGGGACTTTGCAGACAACATTGAGATAGTTGGGTTTTATCCTCCAGACTATACGGGCCATTGAAAGACACAAGCAGGAGAGTAGTGGTATCATTTACCAATGAGAAAATATTTTTTCATGTAGTTGGCATAGCTTATGCATACGTATTTGTTTATACAATTGGTTAATGTCTGTCTACATGGATAAGCTCTTTAAAGAGAGGAGCCATGTCATATATTATCAGTGAACAAATAATTATTTGTTGAATGAATGAAAGAGCTAGATGTTTCAGGAACGTGGGATTGCAGTCAGTTTAGGAAGAATTGAGATGCAAGTAAGAATAGTATCAGATTTACACTTTAGGTTGGCTGCTTGTTGATTTTATTGTGGTAGTTATAGACATCTAAAAGAAAATAATGACAGTATGAGCTAGGCTAATTGTCAAAGGGCTGGAGGAGAAAAGAATTAGATAAATATTGTGGGGCTAAAACTACCTGACCTTGGTGGAGGTTTGAATGCGGGAAGTAAAAACAGGATAACCACCAGATACTTAGTATGGGCGTCTAAACGGATGGTGATACCATAAACTAAAATAAAATAATGGAGACAGAGTTAGATTTATTTATTTTTTGTTGCAGTAGTGAGCCATAAAATGACGATGAGTTTGGTTTTGTTCATTTGACTTTGAAATAGCTATAAGGCTTATAGGTGTATCTGACCAGTAAACAGTTGCTATGTGAGTCAGAAGCTCAGGAGCCAGGTCTTCAGCAGAAGTAAAGACCCACCTTTATTGGAATAAAGTCGAAATCATTTGAATGTGGAAGAGATCACCCAAGGAGCAAACGCAAAGTGGTGAGTCGTGGGTGGAATTAAGGGCTTGGTGAAGGAATAGGAACCTCAGAGAGAGGAGAGGAGAATCTGGAAAAAAGATGTCATTGAAGCAAGAGTGTATCAAAGGTCAGGAAGGAGGTACTGAGCAACTGATTAAATGACGCAGAGACACAATAAGATAAAAATTTAAAACATGTTCATTATATTTGGCAGTTAGGGGGTCATGGATAATATTCATGTGCTTTTTAAAAAAAGTATTTATCAAGGACATGCTGTGTGTTGGGACTGTGCAAGCCCCTTTAATGAGATAATGAAAAAGAAGTACATTATCAGGGATCTTGCAGATTTTATAGACTGGGAGAGTAGAGAGTTTAAATGGAGGGATACAGATAATTGATGAGTTTTAAAATGTAGGGTGAGAAATGCTGCAACAGAGCTGATGCAGGTTGCTTCTCCATTGGTAGATACATGCCATAAATATGTTGTATTTAGCATTTGCTCCCTACCTTTAAGTCCCCTTAACTGGTAAACTGCTACTTGTCCTTCATTTCTTAGATCAAATGTCATTTTCTTAGAGAAACCTCCTCTGACCCTTATTACACCAGATCAAGCTCGTGTGTTGAGTATTGTCTTCATGCTTTCTACTTTTCCTTCATCGCATTTGGCATAGGGTATGAATATATATTTGTTAATACAATTGATTACTATCTGTCTATACCTATAAGCTCCTTAAGAGCAGGAGTCATGTCAGACTTTATCAATGAGAAAATATTTTTTCATGCATTTGGCAAAGCTTATGTGTATTTGTTTATACAATTGGTTAGTGTCTGTCTACATGTATAAGCTCTTTAAAGACAGGAGCCATGTCATATTTTTTCAATGAACAAATAATCGTTTATTGAATGAACAAATGAATGAAAGACAGCTAGATGTTTCAGGACCATGAGATTGCAGTCAATTTAGGAGGAATTGAGATGCAAGTGAGAACAGTGAGTGGAGTATTCTTTGTAAAAATGAAACGGCGAGGGTAATCATTGGCTAAAGGATGAGGTGGAATGAAAGGAGGGAGTCAGTAGGGTGGGATTTATAATCACAGAGAGGACAGGTGAAGGTGAAACTGAAGGAGGGGAAAACTGGCATCTGAAGATTTCTTAAACATGGGGCAGTGGGATCAAGGGAAGTGGTGTGGAAAAGAAGAAGGAAGAAAATTAGGCTAATTTATTGTACGGCTCTACCCTGAGGAATAAGATTTGGACAGTATACTGCACTTTAAGGAATTATTGTCAATATAAATTAATCATAAGACAACTTGAAAAACATGAAATTTTCTGTAACAAAAACAAACCAGTACCTTGAAGATAATTAATGTTATCAGAGAGTTAATGGCCTTAAAAAGCTAACATTAAAGAAGGAGACACCAAATAATTTTGAAGTCAGTATCTTAATTATTTTTGCAACATAGTCTACTGTGATAGAACCAACTGATTCTTGTTCATTTGGAGTTTTACATGTGATAATTACCTCTAAATAGTAGTCTTTTACGCCTAGTCCTTGGTATTGTCTATTAGCTCCCTGACATGGCAGTTGAGGATTCATTTTACTTACTTGACCCTGGCTGCATTCATATTGCTGCAAAGGATATGATTTCATTCTTTTTTGTAGCTCAGTAGTATTCCATGGTCTGTATATATCACACTTTCTTTATCTCTTCCACTGTTGATGGGCACCTAAATTGATTCCATTTGTTTGCTGTTGTGAATAGTGCTGCAGTGAACATGCAAGTGCATATTTTTCATAAACTGATTATTTTCTTTTGAGTATATACCCAGTGATAAGTCTTCTGGGTCCAACTGTAGTTCTGAGTTCTTTGAGAAGTTTCCAAACTGCTCTCCACAGTGACCGAACTAATCCACGTTCCCAACAATAATGTATAAGCTTCCCTTTTCTCTGCAGTCTCACAACATCTGTTTTTTTTTTTTTTTTTTTTTTTTTTTTTTTTAATAATATCTATTCTGACAGGCGTGACATCTCAGGGGATTTTTTTTTTTATTTCAATAGTTTTGGGGTTACAGGTGGTTTTTGGTTACACTGGTAAATTCTTTAGTGGTGATTTCTGAGATTTTAGTGCCTCTATTATGCGAACAGTATACACTGTACCCAGTATATAGTCTTTTATCCCTCATTCCCTTTCCACTCTTAACCCCAACCCCGAGTCCCCAAACCTCAGGAGATCATTTTTATACCTTTGCATCCTCATAGCTTAGCTCCCACTTATCATTGAGACCATACGGCATTTGGTTTTCCATTCCTGAGTTACTTCACTTAAAGTAATGGCCTCCAGCTCCATCAAGTTGCTGCAAAAGACATTATTTCATATCTTTTATGCTCCTGAGTAGTATTCCATGGTGTATGTATACCATATTTTCTTTATCCACTCATTGGTTGATAGGCACTTAGGTTGGTTCTTGCAGTTGTCAGTCTTGCTACTATAAATGTATGTGTGCACATGTATTTTTCATATAATGATTTCTTTTCTTTTGGGTAGATACCCAGCAGTGGGATTGCTGGATCAAATGATATTTAATTTTGGTTCTTTAAGGAATCTGTTTTCCATAGTGATTGTACTAATTTGCAGTTCCACAAACATAAAAGTGTTATCTTTTCACCACATTCACACCGACATCTGTTGTGTTTTGACTTATTAATTATGGTCATTCTTGGCAGGAGTAAGGTGGTATCTCATTGTGGTTTTAATTTGCATTTCCCTGATGATTAGTAACGTTGAGCATTTTTTTTATATGTTTGTTGATTGTTGGTACATCTTCTTTTGAGAAATGTCTATTCGTGTCCTTTGCCAACTTTTTGATGGGGTTTGTTTGAGTTTCAGGGGATTTTTTTTTTTTTAAGATTTCCTTGTAACTTTGTTTCTAATTAATTTAGAAACAAAAGTTTCCATGTAACTTTTGTTTCTAATTAATTCTTCCAGATATCAAAAGTCATCGAGGGAAATACATGTATAAAAATATTTTAAAAAATAAATTAGAGGTTAGGATTTTATCTAGAGTAAAATATTTTGTTGGGGGCAGTAATACATAACAGTCAATTCAGTAATCAAATGCTGCTTAAACAATAACGTAAGCCTTCATTTGTTGGTGAAACTGGAGACAAATAGTTGTGGGCAGATGTGTACTGATTTAGTGAAAACATTGTATGTTCAGCAGTTCATTTATTGTTATTCTTCTACTTTATGATTAGGGAGAACCTTATTTGAAGATAACAGGCCAAATTCCAGTTCTATCTTTTTAGATACTCTGTGGGCATTTTATTGAACTAAATGTAAACAACTTGAGGAGGATAGGTACTATTTTATCTTATTCATGCAGATGGTTCCCAAGTTAAGATGGTCTGACATGATTTTGACTTTTCTTATCATCTTTCAACTTTTCCATGATGTGAAAGTAACACTCATTTGGTAGAAACCATACTTTGAATTTTGAATTTTGATCATTTCCCAGGCTCACAGTAAGCTGGGCAGTGGCAGTGAGCCACAGCTGACAATCACACGCCATCACGAGGGTGAACAACTGATACTCACAGTGGACTGGGTTGCCAGCAATTTTGGGATATTGTGTTTTGTATTTTCATATCCTATGTCTGCAAATTGCCCATTTTCAACCTATGATATTTTCAACTTGGAGCATCTGCCAGTATATATGTGTATTTTATATATATATATATATATATATATATATATATATGTTAAATAAATAAATAAATAAATAAAATAAAATTAATCTCTTATTACAGGTCTGAATCTGTCCTATGAAGACTATCCTACACACAGAATTTGTTCCTTGTGTCATTTCCATCTACTACAACGTGGACTTAGTATCAAACTCTTAAAAGGGACTGTCTAGCTGATTCACTCTTAGAAGGGACTGTCTAGCTTATTCTGAACATTTCATCTTATGAACTTAAGTACAGAAAGATATAAGTACTGTTTGGTGCCTATATATTCAATTCCATAAATGTCAGTCCTTATTTCTTATAGATAGAAGAAACTATGAGTACAAACAAATCAAATGTCATTTGTGGTTTATGAGTCGTCAGTTTCATCTAATGGATTAGGATTACCTAGTCTTTCTCTATTTAAGTAAAAAGAGAATTTAAGTAGAAAGAGAATTTGATACTAAATTGTAGCCACTTGGGCAATTAGTTTATTTTTTAGCAGAGTTAAACCAATGAATATTTTTGAAGCTATAATAAAAAATAAAAGCAGCTTCATTGAGAACAAAATGAACTTTCTGTAAATATAATTTAAACCTATTGTTTTAAGGCTTTATGTTTTAAAAACAAAAATGGCACTATTAAAGTGAGACAGATAAAGATGTACTTGGGGAAATTCATTAACATAAGAAATGTATTATCCCTTGGTAATATGAGTTCAAAATTAAAACTTGCTTAGCAAATGTAAAAAATAATCTCTCCTGTTGCAGATTAACTTGCTTTTTGTTAGTTTATTTCTCTATTCATATCAAATAATAAAATATTCATATGTAATCAAGACATTCATAATAATATTAAAGGCAGCACTGTGTACTTGACAACTGGTAAATAATGAAACAATTTTTTTCATGATTATGTGTATAAAATACTCAAATTAATCTATAGAGCCACATAATCCCAAAATGTACAGCGTTGCTCTAGAGCTTGCAATTGTGTCACTTCCTATATAGAAATACTATTTGACCAACAGGATTTTAGTTGCCTGCTGCTTTTGAAATATGATGATACTAATAAGAAAGACTGTTAAAAAGAGAAAGGCTAGAAATTGCAATCTTAATTATTTAAATGAAATAATAAATAGGCCACATAAAGATTTTAGAACCCAGTGAAGCAATATTACAAACAGATATAAAATGACAGTGAAAATCACGTGTGAAATTTTGAGGCAAAACTTATTAGAACCAGTTTTCTGTCAGGAAAAGTTGTGATGTCATTTGTAGGGACATGGATGAATCTGGAAACCATCATTCTCAGCAAAGTGACACAAGAACAGATAATCAAACACCTCATGTTTTCACTCATAGGCGGGTGTTGAACAATGAGAACACATGGACACAGGGAGGGGAGCATCACACACTGGGGTCTGTCTAGGGGCTAGGGGAGGGACAGCAGAGTGTGGGGAGGTTGGGGCGAGATAACATGGGGAGAAATGCCAGATAGGGGTGACAGGGGGATGGAGGCAGCAAACCACATTGTCATGTATGTACCTATGCAACAATCCTGCATGATCTGCACATGTACCCTAGAACCTAAAGTACCATTAAAAAAAAAAAAAAGAAAAAGAATGTGAAGTGGCTGGTAGAATGACAGAAACAAGAAGACACAGATATGCCTTGTGGAGGGAGAGCTGACATGTTTGACTGATTGACAAATAATATGATTGATCTTCTGGTACTACCTTTTAAGTTTGTGATAAGAGGCTGCTTCGCATAATAAAGAAACAGAAATGAATTCCAAATCCTTTCTCACTCACTAGGATTATCACTCAGGCAGTTTACTTTTCTGAGCTCTGGTTATGAAAAAGAATGCCAATCTCATGGTGTGGTTTTAAGACTTAAAAGTGCTTATCTGTGTACAATGCTTGGCACATAATAGGCTCTAAGCAAAAATTAGCCCTTTCTCCTTGGTAGATTACCCAGGACACTACTATCAGCGTCAAATCAGAAAATTCGTTAAGTTGTATTATATCTGTTTGAAGATCAAACACAATATATAGTCAAAAAGTTGAGTGTACAGTGTTTTGGGTTTTCAGGAGTTGTCTTCAAACACGTGGTTTAAATAAGGACCAGAAGTAATTCAAAGGTCCAGTAAGGCTGTTGGCCTGTGGTATTCCTAATGCCTTTTACTGTGCTAAATGGATATGGCTACAGTAACTTTTGATAAACATGAACAACAGAGGGTAAGTGCTAGACTAGGGGAGGACTTACAGAAAGCTAAAGGGTTTAAGCTTCAGAGACCTTCACCTGCACAGGCCCCTTTTTAGGTCTTTTATCTAATTTTTATTTGTAAGTTACATTATTTTGCTTAAAGAAGGCCCTCAAATTAAATAATTTACAGGCCTGGCAAAAGCTGGATCCCCTGCTACTGGTCTGTCACATAAAAAGGAAAAAAAAAATCACTATGACTAAAAATGAATAAGGCAAACAATAGCAGGAAACATGAGTTTTGCTTTTCTTGCCCAAATCATGATTTGTTGGTAACCCTTGACCCTAGGTGCTTACATGCTCTTGATCACACATTAGCCCTTGCCTATCTAGGAAAGCACGCTGTAGTCCAGCATCAGCCTAAGAATTGCCCATATGAAGAAGTAAGGACTGCCTGTCAATCCAGGAACTTGCAGTTAAATTGCACAGGTATTTGATTTCTGACATTTTTAGGTGGGTAAAGGGGAAGAATTAGATGGGAACCACCTTTATATTGACCTGACTCCATATGTGCCAAAATGAGTTAAGCACTGTGCATAGATTATCACATTTTATACTGCTTGGTAAAGAATATTATCTAACTTGAGGCTTGGGAGAGGTGAAGTAACTTCTTTTTAAATAGCTAGTGGAGCTAGAATTCAAACACAGGGCTTTGTGAAGTCAAAGCTCATGGTCTTTCCAACCTCCCTGTAAGGCTGAAGCTTACCTGCCAATTGTCAGCCACTGAAAACGAATGGACATTTCACCTCCGGTTCACCTAACGATTTTGAATACTTAAACTCCTGCCAGCCAATTGGCAAGCTTTTCTTTCTTGGTCCCTTCATTTCCTCATGTATGAGTGCCCGCCTGTAATATGCTGCATTCTACTTTAATTATTACTTCTTCAAAATGGTCACAGTCACCAAGAAAGTCTCCAGTTAGGTAGGTAGACAGACAGAAGATAGACAGATAGAAAGAAAAAAAGATGGGGGTGCAGGGGAAGGGAGAGAGGTGTCATTTTTTAAATAAAAATTTTATGATTGTATGATTAATAGCTATTATTATTTTACAAGCAGCCTCATGAGTTCTTTTGAAATTCATGTTGTTCCTTTAAATTTCAGTTTTACATTTTAGCTATTTAAGCCCTAAAACTGAAACACTGCTCATAATTTGGAGTTAGCAACTTCAAATTTTTATTCCTAAGACCTATACAACAAGGTTATAATTTAAAGTAAGGAAAAATTTTCATCTCTCAACCTTTTCATTTCTCCTTTCACAGAAGCTCTTCTCTTTTTCCTGGATAATTTTTTTCCACCTTCATAATCACTGACCAGTTATTTGTAATGTAGTTCTAACTATACTACTGCAGAAATTCAAATAAGTACAGTGCATTAGGGAGGGAAAGGATAATTTTAGATGAAATATGTAAAGCTGTGGCCTGTGGCCAAGGCTTGACTAACGAGTCAAACAGCTACTGAAGGATTTGACACCCTTGTTAATTGTAAAATTCCCATTGCATTAAAATATTCACTGACACTCTAGTCCCAAAACAACATAATGAATAGAAGCTTACACTAATCAAAATGATATCGGAACATTTTAAATATGAGTTCTAAGCAAACAACTCATGTATGAATGAGGGAAGATGTGACTTGAATGGACCAAGTACCTACTCCAAGTGCAAACTTGTCCAGCCTGCAGGTCACTTGCTGCCTGGGAGAGCTTTGAATGCAGCCCAGCACAAATTTGTAAACTTTCTTAAAATATTGTGAGGTTTTTTTGCAATTGTTTTTTACCTCATCAGCTATCATTAGTTAGTGTATTTTATGTGTGGCCCAAGACAGTTCTTCTTTCAGTATGGCCAAAAGATTGGACACCCCTGCCGTAGTGAAATAGACTGTTTTTAGGAGGCCTCATTTTAGTAACAGGAAAGCTTGGCAATTGTATTAGTCCATTATCATGCTGCTATGAAGAAATACCTGAGGCTGGGTAATTTATGAAGAAAAGAGTTTAATTGACTCTCAGTTCCACCTGCCTGGGGAGGCCACAGGAAACTTACAATCCTAGCGGAAGGCACATCTTCACAGGGCGGCAGGAGAGAGAATGAGTGTCAGCAGGGGAAATGCCAGATGTTTATAAAACCGTCAGATCTTGTAAGACTCACTCATTATCACAAGAATAGCATGGAAAAAACCACCCTCATGATCCAGTTCCCTCCATCTGGCCCCGTCCTTGACATGTGGAGATTATTACAATTCAAGGTGAGATTTAGGTGGGGACACAGAACCAAACCATATCAGCAATGTAACCAAAATATTATTTATTTGATTAAATAATGTTAGGTTAAACTGTGTTAAGGTATCTTATGATTATTCATGCAGTGAAGTGTGCACAGATAAAGATGGCTCTAATTTATATACAGTATCTTTCCATGAGGATTCTGAGTTGAGTGTCCAATTTTATCTCAAAGAGTAATGTCTTGATTATAACACGGTCTCAGTGCTTGAAGCGGTGACTACCACATTGTACATATGGTGAACTCTCCAAAAATGAAATCCTTGTTACATGATGGATAAAGTGTGTTTACATGTACCTTTTGTAACAATAGACAAAGGTGCTTAGTTGCGCAGATGGCATTATACAAACAAATCTACAAACAACACACTTATAAATAATATAGAACTGGAAAATAAAATGGTATTGCAAACATATTTATATCTGCTATCATTTCCTTCAACAAATAGAGATTTCTGCTTTTCTATATTTATTCACAAAAACTTTTATATAAGCCTTTCTTTTAAGGAATACTGTTTATCTCTGCTTATTCCCCCAAGCTGGCTCATTCTTGCTGATCATAGCATAAACAAAATATACTTTCAAAGCCTTTAAAATTTTCTCCTAACCATTGATTTAGGTGTATGTCTGAAAAGATAAATGTATCTTCATTGGGATGTGTTTGTTTTTATATTGGTCAAGATAAGCCAACAGCTTGAGTACCTGAAATATTATCAAGCTTTGCACACATGAAAGTATTTGGTAAAAATATAATCTTGGAGGGTATGATTATAAGCAGATTCACATCCTCAAGAGTGCTATGAGAGACTTTTATTTTCGCAAAACTCGCAAGTATTGTTCCATAAAATTTGCAGTTTTACTTTTTAAAAACTCAACTAACCTTTTCCTTCTCTTTCCCTCTCTTGCTGATACAGATCCACATCCAGAGGACTGAAGGATGTGACCACATGACCTGCTCACAATGTAACACTAATTTTTGTTATCGATGTGGTGAGAGATACCGCCAGCTCCGATTTTTTGGAGACCACACATCAAACCTCAGTATATTTGGATGCAAATATCGCTACCTCCCAGAGAGACCTCATTTAAGGAGATTAGTGCGAGGGTCAGTCTGTGGTGAGTGTCTGACGTGCTTATATGTATCTTCCCTGGGAATTAAGTCATGAAAATAGAACTTAGAAATGTGCAGCCAGGGATAGGGGGCAAAAAAAAAAAAAAAGATATGTGCAGCCATGATAATTTAGAGCACTTGCCACGTGCCCAGTATTCAGAGGAGGATATTCTCTCACCTTTTAAGATTAAAATTTAAAACTTAAATTTTGTTAGCAGGACACTACTTAAATAAGCAAGTAGACTTTGTCTGAAAAAGCAAATTATTAATCATGCACAGAAATCTGAAGTTATTTGCCTCTCAAATTTCTGAAACCCTATCATAAGCCACTTGACAAGAGGGACAGTGTCACATTTATTTTTGTAATGCAGAATATCCAGCAGCAGGTCTTATAGATATCTTCTACCCATTTATGGAGGACATGCAATACACTACAGCATGGAACATGGTCTAGGAAGGTGGGGGGGAAAATCCACCTTTTAGAGCCTTGTAATAGAGTTCCATTATATCTATAAAATTGATAAGCTGTATATATTTTCATTGTTTTAATCATTAATAGGTAACAATTAATATAATTAATAAGTATCAAATGCCCTCAGTGCATACAAAGCCAAGTTTAACCAAGTGAAAATGCTTTTGTAGATTGACTTTTTACTCCCTCTTCCTCAACAACACATAGTAGCCTCATACACAACCCCTTCCCACACTGGCACACAAATATGCAAACAGAAACACAGACAGCTGCCCATAAACAAATCGCTCTGGCCAAATGCCACTGGCTTTGGGTAATATGGAGTTCTTTGACCAAACATTTCTTCTTCTACTCCTCTGGAATGTATTCCATTCCCTTCTGCTCTGGGATGGAACCATGTGAGATTTCGTCCTCTTTTTCATCACATAGATGTCTGCTAAAATTCGTTTTCTGGCAGTGTTTTTGATGTGTAGGCAATACTTTTTATTATCTTCCATATTTTCCTTTTCCTTCCTACTTTTGCCCAGTTACTTTATGGAAAATCTTTATATCTCTCCTTAGCCCTTTGTCAATTCATGACTGTTGTGAACCATTTTCCTCCTTAGAAGTGTATGATAGCTGATCAGAACAAAGCTGATGTTAGTGATAGATTTCTATCAGGTAAAAGAACATATATATTCAAATGCACTTTCACATATGGAAACCAATGCCATCATTTTCTAAAGTCTATGTGATATTTATAAAAATATTCTTCCTGAGGTTAATTGAACATAAGTTTCCACAGCCAATAGTATTCAATAGTCAAGACTGCTTTTAATGATTTTTCACTGTGTGCCATTCCTTAATTTGCAAATATGGTAGATGCTGTAACTATATAATTGGTTATAATTATATGACCAATATAAAGTATTAAACAGGTATTGGAGGGGTAACTAGGGAATCTAACCTTAACCTCTAATACTTTGAGAAAATTAATTGCAAATTAAGTTTTGAGATAGAACCTATTTGCAAATCTATGCAGAGAGTAACTTGAAAACACAAAATCACTGTATTTTCTGCTTTGTTATTTTATTTTCTACCTCAGTGCCACCTTTAATTTTATTATGGCAGGGTGTTCACTTCCATTCTTTATTTTAAAGAGAGAAGACATTTATTTTGCTCATGGCCCTAGAGGCTGAGCAGTCCAAGATCCAGTGGCTGTATTTGGTGAGGGCCTCTGTGCAGTGTGGCAGGAGGGCAGGCAAGCACAGGAGGTAGAGAGAAAACGGGAGCTGAACTTACCCTTTTGTCAGGAACCCACTCCCTTGATAACCAACACATTCCCATCATAGTGGTATTAATCCATTCATAAGGGCTCTGCTCTCAATTCCTAATCACCTCTTACAGGCCCAATCTCCCAACCTCCTTTCTGGCCTGTCTTTTGTTGGGTACACTTGCATGTGTGTACATAAAGTCACATCAGGTTAAACCTGACAAAGTAGGGAGCAGCAGGCTTGAAGATAAACTCTCATCCACACATATTTTCCCCATCCCAAGCACAGCTGCCTCTAACCGTTATTGGACCGAAACTACAAGTAAAGTGGTCCTACCTCCCCCATCCCCACAAAAAGCAGGAAAAGTAATTTTGTGATTTATAACGTTACATACTCCCTGCCATTTCAGAGAGAAGATGGAGTATAGGAAAGCCTTCCCACTCACTGTCCTTGTGTGATATAAGCTAACTTGCTGCCTTAGTCTTGGAATACTGCCTCATGTGGTCCTTGGCCAGAGGCAGAGAAAGAGACTTCATCTCTCTCACAGCTGAAGGGTGGGAAATATGGTCTTCATTCCACGTAACCATGTGCCCAGCTAGAGATCAAATGTTCTGCTCATATATTATAAGGGAGAAGAGAGATTTGGGGATGATTAGTCTGACACAGGGGCATCTCCACAGTGCGGGGTGGGTAGATTATTAAAGGGATGGTACTGGGCATAAAAGTGGCCGAGGAGAAATTTTAAATTCTCATATTACTCCATACAAAAATTCTAAGTTTTAAGTCATATAATCTTGAAGACTAGGTCTTCAATTGATTTCTAGATGACAATTAATTTATATAAACAAAAACAATGGAGCCTTCTCCAAAAATGAATACTCAATTAAAAAGAAATGATAAGCCTGGAGCCAGAATTGAGGAAATACAAGTAGCCAATACATATGGTAAAAAATATTCAGTGTTATTAGCTGTCACAGAAATGTAAGTCAGCATTCTCAAAATGAGATGCTAACTAATCATTAGTTAGCAGATGTTTAATCAAGTTAATAATACTGCACTTTCATACTTAATGAATTGAAAATTTTGTACAATTCTTTTGTAAAGAAATTTGATACTAATGTGAAGCACATTTTAAAACATTAAAATCTAGATAGACTGAAAATGGTTGATGTGCGAGTATAATTTAAAATCGGAAAAAAGGAACAAAAAAGTATAGGAATATTTAAATAAAATATGATATATGGATATGATAGGATATTATTTTAGCAATTGAAAATGATGTTTTAAACAATGTTACTAATTTAGGAATAAGGGATGGTATGCTTAGTCCCTTAAGACGGTTTCAAAAGTAGATGTAAACATGTTTTGAACATGGATTACATAATTGGAGTTTTATTTCCTATCTGATTTCTTGAATTCTGTGATGTTTGAGAGGAAAAGGAAAATCAATGCTGTTACTTTGTAGTCATGTTTTATTAGTATTAGCAAAATGTACTGATAATTATTTAAAAAGGAAATATGAATGAACAGACTGATCTATATGCAAAGGAGAAAAACACATTCTTTTAAAATACATGTACTTATATATCCTAAACTCTTAAGCATCACTTTAAGAGTGCATTTAACATAATTGTTCAGTGGGACTTATTACTTACTTGGATTCTGTCATTGGTGAAAAATATAAATAAAACTCCTGTCTAGACATACTGCTAATTGAATGGAGATTTTTAAAATTAGAAATTTAAAACATTATTATATACCTGTGTGGTGATCTTGTTCCAAAGATCATTCCTTAAGAATAAAAAAGTTAATATGTTTTGACAAACTTCCAACAAATGGCTGTATGATGTTTCTTTTTTTTAATGCAACTGGTTATTCTAAATTATTGTCCTTAATTTATAGAATGGTGTTGCTGTTTCATTCTTAAATTGCAACATGAGTCTACTGCAAAGTTTCTGTTTCTCATCTCTTGTTGCGTTTGAGTTGTGCAGCTGTGAAGCTGTGTTATATCCTTGAGGTTTACAATACAATAGCGACATGTTATTTATTATTGCTCTTTTTTGTGGCTGTGTCTTTCAAAGTCAGTGGGATTGTGATGGTGGATTCTGCCATGTAGACTTAAGAGAAGAGTTTATCATCACTGCTTAATGATTTATTTAGAAAATAAAATGCTGGCTGATACCACTTGACATCCTTACCAGCACTTACCCTTCTTATTTTATAAGTGTTTCCTTTTTCAATTTGTTAAAATGATTCACTTGAGTATCTTTCAACGTACTGTGTATATATTGGTAGCTTTCTCTAATATCTAAAAATGTCCCATTTGTAGTTCAGTCTGGTAGGCGTTCATATTATTAGTTTTCTTTGGACCCAGGATGTAAATAAACCACTTCTTTAGATGTGGGCTTGAACAGAAGCCCTCTGTAGGGCCTAGCAGCTCTTCATGTTGTAAGCTAACTAGATTTTCTCCTACCAACTCAAAATGCACCACTTAATCTTTTAGCATTGCGATCATGAAAATGGAAAGGATCTTAAGGAAAAGCACAAAGATGAACTGTCCTGGTAGAATACAGTGAGCCAGATGTTTTGGAATGTTTTTGATTGGGAAGGATAAGTGATTTATGAGATATTTGGTGCATGTGCTCAGGACTTTGGTGAAGTTACTAAACTTACATGTGTATATCTGTTTTATACCTAATCCTGATACATTTCTTAGATATATACAGCCTTAAGTGTAATCAGACTACTTAAAAAATAATACACACTGTGATATTTAAAAAGCATCACTGCTATTATGTGGTAAGTTAGTTTTGAGACTCCTGAAATTATTTTGCCTTTTGTTTTCCAGCTGGAAAATTATTCATTGCACCTCTAATTATGGTTTTGGGATTGGCACTAGGGGCCATAGCAGTTGTAATCGGTAAGAAATACTTCATGTACCTGAGATTAGAATTTTCTGAGGGCCATAGGGAGAATATGAGTGTAAATGTAATAATATGAATCAATTATTAATTGGACATAATTTCTGTTGTATGCCTCCTTTAGATAGATCACCAGAATATCATTTAAAAGATCAGAGGAGCGTGTTTTCTGTAGGATGTATTAGTATGAATTTTTCAGTCTATGAACACTCTGAGTTATATATCTTATAAAGCATTATTAACTCTTTTATGATACAAGGTTAATAGAATTAGTATCTTAGGGAAGGAAGCAAGTGGAATAGAATCCAAATTTTCTAATTCTGAGTTCAGCCTGAAGCATCAAGGAAAAAAAGTTCTGGTTCACCCTATGTGTTTGGTTTGGTCCTGTAAAAGATGCCATGGATAAAATCAGGTAATGTCAGTGTTCACAGGAACATATACCCAGCATACACTTGAGCACTGACAAATAGAAAACCTTGCAGTGATTTGCATAGTTTTATTTATGCAAGTATATTAAAATATGTATTTTAAAACAGTGGTTTTCAGACTGTAGCATGATTTAGGAATATCCTGGAGGGCTGGATAAAACACAGATTGCTGGTTTCTATCTGCAGTTTCTAACTCAGTATAAGAGAAAGGTCCATGGATTTTTATTTTTAAAAAGTTCCCAGGTGATGCTCACGCAGCTGGTTCAGGGGCCATATGTTGAGAACCATTGCTTTAATAATTTTAAACTAAATGCTATAGATAAAGTCAGCTTTGGTCATTGTTCCATATACTAGATGGATTTTTTTTTTTTGGCTAAATAAAATGATTTTCATATGACAACCTGTGTTTAGCAATTAACACATGTGCAGGACAGATAGAATTGTAAAGTATCTGGAATTTAAGTTATTGCATATGAGTTGGGACATTATGAAATAGATATTATTATCTGTATTATACAGTTGAGAAAGCCTTACCAGGACCTCATAAGTGGTAGAACCAAGACTCATCCCCAACTTTTGGCTCTACAGCCTGTGTTGTTAAGTACTTAATATGCTATACTGCCTGAAACAAGTGTGGCTGTCATAGTGTGCAAATGATATGACTGTGGACAGTAAAGAAGATTGAAACCAAAAGTTTGATATTTTAATAGAAATCATTATTCCAATTCAAACTGGTATCACTGAGGGTGTTAAAAAGGGAGAAAAGCTAAAGAGAAATATTAAAGAATTATTAATTAAAGAATTAAAGAGAAATACTAAAGAATTAAAGAAAAATATTAAAGAATTTTGTAGAAGTAAATACATTTAATAGCATAGATGTCTTCCTCTTTTCATGTTCATACATTGCAAATAAATAAACAGGAACATTTTAAAATAGGAAAACCTAAATGTCTTCATCCTAACTAACTTTAATTTTTTTCTCTCTAGGTTTATTTGTATTTCCAATCTATTGCCTTTGTAAAAAACAGAGGAAACGATCACGGACAGGTATGCACTGGTAAAATGCAGATGATTTCATCCAACTAAGCTGGTTTGAGTAGTAGCGTTATAGAATGGTACACCCATCTGTGAGTCACATCTTGAAAAATACTGAGAGGAACATTCTACCATCTCATCTCCCAGTGATTCTCCGTGGGCCACAATGCCTCTAGCTATGGTGCACTCCCAACATGGTATCCTGTCCTTTCCCTAAACAAATTGCTGCTGCTTTTAAAAAATGGTCACTTTCATAAACTATAAACATCTGTATCATAACTCTGCCCTTTGTGGTTCTTGGAAGAAGATACTTTAAGAAGAATTATCCTCAGAATTCTTCTGAGCACGCCTCTTCTGAGAATTGCTTGGACTGTCTTTGAACTCTGCGCCTCCTTCCAGGCCATCTTGTGAGACTTGGTGTGAATAGCTGAAATCCCATCTGTACCAACAAGCAAGGCCACTTTTCAGAAGATAAGAGTTCACTGAATGCACCTATTATAATCTGTGGCCCAAGCAGTATAATTCCTTTATCCATCAAATGTTATAATTGCTAAAAGTCTCAATGTCCAAAAGGGAATGAATGAAACTAAATTAATGAGAAGAATACTAAGTTACTGAAGTGTATATGTGTAGGGGTGTGAATGTGTGTGTATATATAAATATGTATTAAAACTAGGCCTAATAACCTTGTATTTATCCAGTTCCATGCCGCTACACTATTTTTCCACATTTTCATAGACCTATTGAAAGATGATGGTTCCTTTGTGGACGTAATTTGGCAATGTATTGAATTAAAGTCAATGTAGACAACAGGCTATTTCGATGCTGACCTTTTCTATTTATTGCTCTTTCTTTTGTCACACACACACAGAAATTTGTGCAATGTCACCTCAAGGAGTATTAAGCTTTGTAAACTGACAAAACTGGCTGCTTTTAGGAAATTTTCAAGACCCAAATATTCAGTCTTTTTAAAATGTTATTTTGGAATAGATGCTTCACTCTATAGATAGATCCTTCACATGGGGATTATTTAATCCAAAAAAACAAGTTTGCTATAAAGAACTGCTTAAGCCTTTTTAAAAAATCCTATTCTGCTAATTTTTTCTGCTTTTAGGAAATTCTCAAGACCCGAATATTCAGTCTTTTAAAAATGTATTTTGGAATAGATGCTTCACTCTATAGATAGATCCTTCACATGGGAATTATTTAATCCAAAAAACAAGTTTGCTATAGAGAACTGCTTAAGCCTTTTTAAAAAAATCCTATTCGGCTAATTTTTCACCCAACTTATAATTATAGATAATTCTGCTTTAGGTCAAGGTCTTATATCATTTAATATCCTAACCCTATTCTCTCTTGTCTCCTCCTCTTTTTTATTTGTTCCCAAGGTTTTTCATAAAAAACAATACAAGTTTTGAAGGATTTTTTCTTATGTTTAACTGCTCAAACGTACACTTTTTTGGTGTCCTCTTATGAAGGAGTTAGTTTGAAAACTTTTATGTTCATCAGTTTATCCAAAATATCAACTCCTTTTAGAGAAGGAAACAAAAAAGTGAAGGAAATATTTTCAGCAAGTATTTTTCAACCCACGAAAGCTTTAAAAATAAGAAATAGACAAGTAACTAGACTATGATATGCCTTTGTTTTCATCACAGAAGTTAATCAGCAGACAGGAAAAAAAAAAGACTCCTAAAAAGCCTAAAGCTCCTAATTGTCTCAAAATTCTTAAAATTAGCCATTTGTCTTAGATGTACATTTATTTGTTAACAACCCTGTCTGATTTGAAATAGATGATATGATAAAACATGCATTAACATGAGTAATCTATTTTTGTTGGCCTCCAGAGTGTAAGAAAATTTATTTTTGTTTTACATAAAGTAAAGTTTACCTGCTTGAATAACAAGCTAGCATGCTTTCACTCTTTCTAAATAACATGGAATATCTGTACTACAGCTTCTGGAAGTTGTCTATTTCCAGTTAGAAGAGTGTGTGACATTTATCGTGAATAGCATCTTTCTAAAGCATAATATTATACAAGAAAAAAGTGATGCCCTGGTTTCACAAATTTATCTTTTAATTCACCCATCCATCCATTTGGCAGATATTTACTGAGTGCCTGTTTTAGGTGTTCTAGTATTAAGACTGAAAAAAGGAGAATTTCTAGCCTGTCATAAATGTACTTAGGTTTTGTAAATTCATCTTTCCTGAACTTAGGCATTAGTTTGGCATTATGTGAATATGATGAACTCTAAACCTAGCTGATCTGTTTATGTATGATGTATATATATGTATGGTATATATGAAATATTCCCATAACTGCATATGAACACATATGCCATATACGTATGTACCAACTGGCTGAATAACATACTCTTTGGTCTTGGATAATCTATATTCTAGGTTATGTGTCTGTTATCTTTGGCCTACTCAGGGATTTTTATTTCTTTTTTTAAATAACTTATCTTCTGGACATATTTTTATATTATTTGGAAAACTTTCCAATATTCCATTTACAACGTGATTTTCAGTGAAGGCTATTTCATCAATGCTTGAAATAGTGTGCACTGTGTTGCACAGGTTTTTCATTTTTCTATTGAGTAGATATTTTTAAATTAACATATGCATTTTTATATTAGGTGATATATATTAGGCCTTTCCCTGCTGGTAACTTAAAATGATTATTTGTGAATTTTTTACTAAGTTTCATCAAGATCTTAAAAAGAGAGAAGAAAATTAGAAGTATTATTCATATGTCAGTGCCAACTTTGAAGGTAAAACAATAGTAGTAACTTTTGGGAGAAATTCTAAAAACTACTTTAAAAAAGAAGCGTGCACATAAAATAAATGTCTTTCTATCCAAGGCTTGTCATTTTTATATGCTTTTATTGTAAATTTAATATATAGTACTTTAAAAAATTAAACCATACAGAATTTATAAAATACAATTTTCTCTGCTCACCCCACCCCTTGTTTTCTAGGGGTAACCACTGTTAATGGTTTAGTATGTGTCCTTGCAGGCACTTTCTACAAATATACAAATAAGTGTGTTTGTGTATGTGTCTGTGTGTTTATTCATTTTATACAAATAGAAAAATATTCTTACTGTGCTGTGACTGTCATTTTATTATATATCAATAGATACCTTTCTATAAGAGTTTAAATAGATTTACCTCATATTTTTAAATAAATTACTGCATAATCCATTGTAGGGGTATACTTTAATTTATTGAATTAGTCCCCTGTTGAATGGACTACAAGATTATTTTCACTTCCCTGTTACAAAGAAAGTGAGGACCCTTTGGCATATATTTTTGTCACCTTGAGTGAACATATCCATAAGGTTGTACATTTGTTTTTTTACAAGATCTTTGTAATAAACATTTTAATATAATTTCAGGAGATTAGGTCATAGAATAATATAGGACCCTTTTTTGGATAAAAAGAAAGATTGTACAGGAGTGCATAATTTTTAAAGAAAATCGTCTTTTGAAGGATTATTTCCTTTCTACCTGATTAGCAAAAAAAAATACCTTGCCAAAACTTACAAATCTTTTTTCAATAAAATAAAATTTGAGGAGATGTCTGTCAGATAATGTAAGAAAGATGAATTGACTTTTGAATTGCCTCATTTTAAAACTTGAGGGATTTAAATAAAATACTTGAGCGAAATTGGTGATACTTGTCACATTTTTAATAACACTGTCAATTTTTGTGTATGTTGCGTGACGGAGGAACTTAATTATGCCATTGTGAAAAGTAGGAAAGAATTATAAATGCCCACAACAATTCCCACAAAAATAAATCAGATCATGTACGATTTAGTGATTTGATGGGATGATTATAAATCATGGAATAATTTATATATGTGGAGTAAGAAGAGAGGAGTCAAACCTTTCGGTACAAGCCACATCATGTTGCCACAACCTTGATTTTTCTCATAGATGCTATTGTAGCCTAAGAGTAGAACAGATAAGAAAACAATCAAAGATAATTAAACACAAGTCAGGTTACAACATGATATCGTTAAGTGTACTTTCTCTGCTGTGGTATCAAGATTCAGTGGTACTTGTCAGGAAATTCTTGTTCTGTAACACCCACTATCTCTTGAGTCCCAAGGCTCCAACTGATCCTTTATCTTTCAGTCTTACCACCCAAATATATTACCGTCTGCTCTCCTAAAATGCCTATGAATCACTGTAATCATTTCCAGTCCCTGGTGCCCCTCCTCAACCTCATTTTCTCTATACCTCTGCTATTCTAACTATTCCTCTTCACTGAAGGAGAAGAGGAGAGACAGGAGGGGCCAAAAAATTCATTCTGGCATGTGCAAACATCAGTATTCCTTCCTGACCTTTGTCAAATGAGAGCACATCTGCCAAGACATCAATCCAGCTGCTCTCTTGCTAAATGCAGTTGTTTTTTTTTTAACGTTACACTCGTACACTGGCTGTTACATTTAGAATTATCAAAAAGTTAGTGGCCTCTATAACCTTAATTGGCATACTTTATTAAGTACAAAAATAAATTTATGCCAAAAAACATTTTTAGACTTTAATTTTATAAGCAAGCTGCACATAAGCCTTAATATGAGCCTTCACATTGGATTACATTTTTATTCTTCCATATTTGTGGCTGAAATCTCTCCTAACTATTGAAAGTGATTTTCCATAGTCTGCTTTATTGTTTTGTGTTAATATCTGTTATAAATATAGCCTTAAAATTTCGTAATGCACTTTAAAATACTTGTGCCATTTAAATAATGTGATAGTTTAAGCAATCAATGCGTACATTTCAATGGAGACAATATACAAAGTTAAAGCAACTGATACATGTATTTCAATGGAGACAGTAGGATAAGAGCGTTAGCAAGTATGTGTCATCTCTTTAAATTTGGGAGGAATCAGAAGCTAAAGATTTAAAACAAGTAAAACATACCTGAAGAAAAGTAGCAATTTCTGAAATTATAGTAATCCTGTAAATTGGATATCAGGACCTCAAACATACCAAATAATAATAAAGTGTTACCTAATAGTCTAATTGGAATGTTTGTTTAAAATATTAAGTTAATTTCTAGTGAAAGTTTTAACTGCAATTCTATAATTCATGAATTCTGTGAAAGATATCTCCCTGACTAAAAATTCGATCAATCAAAACTACCAGTTTTGCATACCAATCCCAAGTTTAAGCACATTTTGTGTTTAAAGTTATAATTATGACACTGTTCACCTAATATGGAAAATAAGTTACAAAATTCTTTTCTTTTTTTTGGGACGGGGTGGGGTGGTCTCTCCTTGTTGCCCAAGCTGGTCTCGAACTCTTGGGCTCAAGCGATCCTCTCTCCTCTGCCCCTGGAATAGCTGGAATTACAAGCATGCTCCCACTGTGCCTGTCTTCAAAATCACATTGTTAATGTGTATAGCCACAATTATTAATCTGAAAACTGAAATAATTTTATAGTAGCATTAAAGTATCATCAGAACAAAATCAGAGTTCCAAAATTTGGTGAGTATTGTAAGATTGTGAAATGTTACCTTTTGGATGCAAACCAATGATACAAACCTTTAAGAGAGAATTACAGTGGGACTCCTTTATAACTCTGATTTTGAAAATAGAACAATTACACATTTCATAGCCAAACATTGTGTGGGACTTCTATTGTTATTATTTGTAAGGCTGAAACTCTAGTTGACTTCATCCAAATCCAAGAAACGGAGAGTCGCAATAGTTTGAGACTATTCTCATTGCTTGTTTGGAGCATTAGCTGAAGCTTTACTATATCACATACCTTACAAATCCCTATACATATTCCAGTTTTACAAGAATGTAATTATGCATGTTACACACTATATATATATTTTTTTTTTGGCTAAAGAAGTGACTATTTTGAGAATAACAATAATGATTGTAAAAGGCAATAAATTATTTTATTTGAATACACAAAATATTACCACTGCCTTTTTTTGTCACTTCCTTTCTTCTAAAAAGTTTCATTTGGTGTATCTAACTTTGTATCACTTAAATTATTCAGACTTCCTAACATAGAAAATACTTCTTTTTCAATTCTGTGCTGCATTGTGCCACTCTATTCCATCATTAATACTAAATGACTTTCCTTGTGAAATGATACCCACGTACTTCAACATGAAGCTCCTTTTTCTCTTGCATTTCCTAATTACCTTGGTTTTTGCCTCTGCAGTCTTCTTTCCATCTTGGCCAAGTGTTGGGATAAATTCTGTCTCACCCATAACTACTTTCACTGTAATGAAATGAATTCAGCACTGAAAGCACTCCAGAATTTAGCTCTGATAGTGAGCATAATATACCTTGGCTTATTTTATCTGTAGACGGAAATGTATCAGGAGTGCCTGGAACATTTTTCTCTCTTGATAGGAGCTGGAGAACACTGCCTAGCACTCTGCCAAGAAGTAAGTCAAGCAAATGAAGATACCAGGTGGATCAGAGGGCCTAATAATACTCTAAAACCAAGCTTCAGAAATTGCTTCATGACTGTTGTAAGATCAATATTGTGTTTGCATATTAGTTGGATAGAAAGCATGTGTGGACATTCACCCAACCTGACCCCAGGTCATTCTTTATCCAAAAAGGGTTCTAGATATGATTTACGGTCTTTGTTTAGTAAAAAGTCCTTCGACTTGGGGTAGATTTATATAGCATAGCATTTGTATATAAGATTCAGTCATGGATTCATACTCTGTGAATGTTGTTAGATTTTTGATAATCTAAAGTAGATTACATTGAATGTAACTGATATTAGCCCTATTCTAGAGAAAACATTTGTCATTTGCAAGTGTTTGACTTTTTCATTGATAGGATTTAGGTATCAGTCAGAGTCAAGATATTTATTATAAATTCAATACATAACAGAAAAGTACAAGGGAGAGACAGACTCGAGTGTTAAAGGGCTCCAGAAATTGCCAAAATGTTCTTTTAGATTCTTGTGGCTGGCAAGCTATACTGTCATTGGTTCTCTGCAAATTTGTGATGTGTTCACGTCATCATGTCCCAGCCTAGGAAATAGTCTTAATAATCCAATCAAATGATTAAAAATAGCATTTTTATGTATTACTTCTTCCGTATCCCAATATATTTTTAGAGTTTTAAGCTGCTAGTATCTAAATATTTGATATAAATATCTAAATTCTTTCAGTTTATAGAAAATTAGGCTGCTTTATGTCTCTTTATAATGAAAGTTCTAAAGTATCATAATTTCATTATCAGTGACAACAAACCCATCTAAGACCTATTTTTTAAGTGTCATATGGCAACTCCTAAGTAGCTTACTTTTATGATTTGATTATTTTCATCACAATTATGGTCCTCTAGATGGTATTTTAAAAAGTAGAACAACCTTATGTTTCACGTAACACAGAATAATAATTAGTTTGTATATATATAACCATTTTCCTTGACAAGAACAATCTGTTACAGATTTTTAATTTGAAAATTAATTGATAATTTTGTTGCTTTTAAAAGCAATTATTAACATAGTAACTAGTAAATTCTGAGAGATGACAAATGATTTTCTGTAGAAGGAACACTACAGTTATGTTAAAATGTTAACAAAGAACTAGTTGTTTTGATTTTATTTTAAACAAAATTATATTTTGTTTAAACAAAATTATTTAATAAATTTAATAATAAACAAAATTATTTAAATAAATTTAAACAAAATTATTTTTAAACAAAATTATAAGGCATTTTTATGAAAAAAATATATCAATGTAGATCTATTTCAAAACTGTGAGACAATTAAATTATTCATTCTTTTCCCAAATAGAGTAAAATATTATAAAGAAAAACATTTGGATGTTTAATCTGTTATTACTGTATGTTAAGAAATTACAGTTCTAAGGAATTATTGCCATCTTCTATTTAAATATCAGAATATATTCCATTTTAATTATATTCTCCTTAACAGAAAATTAAAGAAATTTCTTGATTATTAGATGAATAGCATTTTATACCAAATCTTGTTTGTTTCATTATATTGCATATTTTTTAGTTTTCTATAAAATTTGCCACCATTTTCCAAATAATGTAATAATATTTTTCATGTTTAAAATGGGCCTGGTTGAAAAGAGA